AGAAAATTTAAGGAAAACTCTCCAAAACTGGTTTTCATTCTCTTTTGAAGTTTCTATTAAGGTAATTATTTTCCTTGTATTGGCATCCCATGTATGTAAAATGGAAGACAACCCAGGACTCCAGTTTCCCTGACTTAGATGAGAATGTGAACACAGGAGGCCTCTGGGCCACATGTATTCCACATAGGGGACTGATCTGGCCCACTTGGTCCTCTAAAAATAAGGAATTTTACAAAACCATCATATTTTTGTCTTCTCTTAAAAATCAGACATGGAGAAACTGTGACTAACTTTCCCAAATGATCACAAACCCTGCTGCCTCCTTCAACCCATACCTACACCATTCAATTTGTCAGTTTCCACCAGGATACCAAGTCCCCCTTCTGGTATCCAAGTAACTTCCTGTCTCTGTACTCCCATGACTTTTGTACTCCTGCCCTTGAAGAAGAGGTGCGTGTGAGTTCTGCTATAAACTCTTACGCTTAGCCCATAAAGAAGTTTTAGGAAATGAGCCTTCCCTTGAAGACTTGGGCCAACAGACTTGAATGACACACAAAACCTCATTTAAATACTATAGGGATCTAAAATAACGTTGTAACTCGAAAGTCTTTATTGAATCATGTACATTATATATGAGTTTTGAAATATTTTATTAGTACTTCATTTCTGACTTCACTGTAGGGGGAAAAAAGAGAATTCAAAGACATCTTTAATTTGGTTCTTATTCATAAACCTTTACAAATTGCCAGTGTCACCAGAAGTTAATAATATGCATACATAAATATGAAATAGTCTTACTCCAGTTCTGTGACCATCTTAATAGCCAGAATAGTAAAAAAAATAATAATAAATCCTTAGCTGGTCTTGAGTGCAGCACTAGTAGTGATAATCCAGTTTAGATTAATACAAATAAATTGTGAATGTGTATTTTTAAGCTGACTTGTGATTGTTAATGAACACACATGCAGGTATGTGTGTTCACGATATATTCAAATCCCTCTATGTGTATACAAAAATGTCCTCTCTTCTGTATTTCAAAAAGCAAACATATTGTCACCTGTTTTTAATACTAAGATCCCATATAACTTATAATGCAGAGTTATACAGTATATACACGGAATGCTGCATCAATCATGCAAAAATGTGTGTTCCATCCGGCTGTTCCTGAACCTCCATTAAAGATCCGAGCTGAACCCAAAGACACATGAATAAAGTAATAATTGCTTGAGAAAAGACATAAAATACTTCACAATGAGATTATTTGTCATTTACTTCGTTACATCAAAGAAGATATGTGACTAAAAATACTATACTGATGGGGCACCTAGGTGGCTCAGTCGGTTGAGCCCCCCATTCGTGGTTTCAGCAGGTCACGATCTCATGGCTCGTGACTTAGAGCCCTGTCTGGCTCTGTGCTGACAACACGGAGCCTGCTTGGGAGTGTCTGTCTCCCTCTCTCCCTCTGCCCGTTCTCTGCTCACATGCATTCTCTCTCCCTCTCTCTCTCTCAAAATAAACATTTAAAATTTCAAAAAAATACATATATTTAAAAAGTAAATAAAGATGGTATGACGGCTCTCATTCTGATTTTTTACTGCAGAAGGTGAAAAATTGTAGGCAAATCTGACAGACATCTTAAGGTCCCCTTGGACCGTCTGACACAAGCAGTGCCCTATTAAACTAGGCAAACGAACAAGAGAACCTTGGCGGCTTTAATTGTGCTGTGAAACAAACTGAAGGAAGCCGATTGTCACAGGGCAATGCGGGTGTTGCATCATTTATAACCTGATTCAACTATGGGAGCAGTCAACCATATCCTCGCAGAATACGGAACGCACTGTGAGAGAATACAGTTCAGGCATTCTAACCCAAGGAGAAACCCACAGGAAGTTATTCTAATTTAAATGAGGTTTAAATTCATTCCCACAGTCACATACTTCAAGTCTATATGCTTCCATTTTTCCTAGTGGCAACTCTAATGATTTCTTTCTACCAGTTCCAAAATTTCATCATCAATAAAATGATTATAATGTAGAGTCATTTAAAGGTTGGTTTGTTTCTGTACTTACCACACACACACACACACACACACACACACACACACACACACACAGAGGTTTTTTTTTTTCCCCATGTTAATTCCACTGAAGGGGAAATCAAGTATGGGCTCTAGAATCAGTACACCCAGCTTCCCCTCTGACTCCTACATTTTAGCATCAGAAATTTCCTTTACCTGCTATCTCATCTACTAAGTGGGGCAGAAGGACAAGGCAGAAGCCTAGAAGTGACCCTTTTCACAGGATGCTGGGCCACTGCCATCAGCTCTACAGTCTTGATAGGTGGGGATAAACACACTTGCTTTTTATCTGCAGAAGTTGTGGCAAGGGTCAAAGGCGATAAACACTCAGTTTAAATATCAAATTTCTGCGGTGAGGGAGAACAAAACTCTAGATAAGGAAACCTCATTAAAATGAAGGTAGAAAGTTGTCTGGTGAAGCAGAAAATCTTTGGCTAAGGTTCAAAGATTAGAACTAACCACGGAGCACAGGACCAAGAAAAGGGCTTTGATTTGGGCAGATTTGATTTAGAGTCATGACTACACCACTAATTAGCTGTATGATCTTGGAGCAGTCACCTGACCTCTGTGAGTCTGTTTACATAGCAGTAGAATCCGGACTACATTCCCTTCCTTCCAGGAGAGTTACACAGATTAAATACGTTAAGTTCCCGATACAGTGCATAACTCAAAGTGGCTCTGTCTATATTACACATATTCTCTTGCACACACACACACACACACACACACACACACACACACACACATATTCTCTTGGTCACCCATATGTAATTAAAGATAGGGCCTCTTTCCCTTTTCTTTGCAAAAAAAAAAAAAAAAAAAAAAAAAGACTTATTCAAATAACAAGAATTACTCTTAGCTTTCTCTGTAAAATGAAAACGTGGCCACACAAGATATAATGGAAATGTCAAGAAGAAATTGTAGATATTACTCTTTTTATTATTTCCAGTGTGTTCCTAAAACTTCAAAATATTTTAGCATTTAGTAATTGTTTAGTAATAACAGTAACAGTTTAGTAGTAGATGGCACGAGTGTGTTCCCCTTGCTCCCCTTGCAAGACTGGATGATTTCCTTCCTCAGCTGCTGGCAGCGCTCAGCTGTCACCTTTCTCAGGGAACTGCCCCCTGGCTGGCGGGAGCCACCTTCTAGGCACAGCCTGCATCCAATAACTGGGTGGCACAGAGTTACAGAGGCTGGGCCTCCTTGTCCCAACTCTCTAACACTGCTGAGAGGCCCTCCTGGCTTCAGAGCTCTCCACCAGCTGGATGAGGCCTTTGGTGAGACTGCATCAGGGCACAGCTATTTCTGCCCACTTCTGCTTCCTTCCCTTCTTTCCACAGGGGTTGATCTCAAAAGAACTCTCTAATAAACTGCCTGCACAGACTCAGTTTCCAGGGGAGTCTAGTTCAGAGAAACCACGTGCCAAAACTCAGTGTGCTTTATTTCTGTATCTTTCACTTTTTTAATGTCTATTTTTGAGACAGAGAGACAGACAGACAGAGCATGAGTAGGGAAAGGGAAGAAAAAGGGAGACACAGAATCCGAAGCAGGCTCCGCGCTCTGAGCTGTCACCACAGAGCCCGACGTGGGGCTTGAACCCACAAACTCGAGATCATGACCTGAGCTGAAGTTGGGTGCTCAACCAACTGAGCCACCCAGACACACATTCCCTTTTTTTTTTTCAATTATTTGAATGAGAGAGAGAGAGAGAGAGAGAGAGAGAGAGAGAGAGAGAAGAGGAGGGGAAGAGGGAGGCAGACACAGAATCCAAAAGTGTGCTTTAAAGGTTTCTGAGATCAGGCTTCCTATGCCATCATAACTGAAGCATCTTTTATTTGTCCAAACAGGCCGTGTGTCTGCTATCTCTACAGCCACAAATGGGTACTTTGAGTTGAGAAAGAGAAAAAAAGCCAAATGATCAGTTTTGCTTATTCACAAAATTAAACAGTTAATAGAACTGAACAGTTACTGAGACATCGTAAAGACAAAACCTTAGATATGGCATGTGATGAAGCCTATCTTTTAGGTCCTTGGCAGCTGTTCAACTCAAACTTCTCTAGAGAGCTGTTTCCCCCACCCACGCCCCCCCCAAACATATTCCATTAACGATGAATGTTAGAACATTAGGTTTTGTTTTTATCTGAAATAAAATTAAACAGTATCTTGCTTGTAAAAAAAAAAAAACAAGGAAATAGGAAACAGTCTTGAAAATAGGTATTTGAGTTGCCTTGAAGTGTTCCTCTCACCCTTTCAACTGTGTTAGTTGTTAATAGTGAAAGTGCTTTGTCAAATGCATTTTGAAGTACCTTCTGGCCAAACCTACCCTGATTGAATAATATCGCTGGCAATTTAATAACAGTTCTTGAAAACTGAAGGAACTAAACCCACACCTATAGGGTCAATATCCCTTTTGCCCAAGGGGACTAATTTGAAGGAATAATCCACCAATTACTGGACACTTATCCCACATCAGCGCTTTACACATTTGAACGGTGGTGACAAGGAAATATTCCATATGCTAGTTAATCTAGGACCATTGCAAAGGTGCATATTAGCACATTTTTTAATAAGATATTTCTCTTTTTCTTGAAGTTTATTTATTTTGAAAGAGAGAAAGTGTGCAAACCGGGAAGGGCGGAGAGAAAGAATCCCAAGCAGGTTCCGTGCTGTCCATGCAGAGCCCGAAGCAGGGCTCAATCTCATGAACCACAAGATCATGACTTGAGCCAAAATCAAGACTCAGATGCTTAACCGAATAAGCCACCCAGGTGCCCCAATTAGATATTTTTCAATTACAAAAGAGAACTTTGAGAAGAAAATTTTTTTCTAATATGAATCCACATTTTCCAGATAAGGCTTTGCTATTAAAAAAAAAATCTTCTCTAATCCACCCTATGTTTTCCCTCCCTCAATTTTACTACAGCTGATCCCACTGACATGAACTCGTGTGTCCTCTTTAACTCATCACCTCCCCGCTGGACCTTTCCTGAGTATGAATTACTCAGACGCTGGCCTTGAGCAAAGACCTGCCTGCCAACTCATTCATACAACAAATAGTGAAACTCTTATAAATCATCTGAATTTGTCACCCATGTCTGAAAGGGACAACAGAGCGCAGTGATCAAGAGCACAGACTTGGATCTAAGGTGCACAGGCTCAAATTCCAGCTGGGCCTCTTGTTAGCTGTGTGACTTGAGCAAGTTACTTTAATTTTCTATGCTATCATTTAAAATCTACATAACGGAGATGTTAATCATTCCTACCTCACTGGGTTATTGTGAAGATTCAATTTGCTAACCTGTGTCAAGCACCTGGGACAGCGCCTGCACACAGTACGTACATGTTTGCATTTATTAGTTCGCCATTCTATTGTCATTTCTCTGGAGTTCCTCTTCTTGTAACTTCTTCGGAGAATGTGCGCCTTCTATGGCATCCTCTCCTGGCACTACCTGGCTCATTCTCTTGATTCACTTCTCTCCTCTTCACAAAGCTCAAGTCGTCCACACTAATCTGCTCTTTCCTGGGGCTGCCATCGCCTCTATGTTTTCACCATAGTATATATCCCACCCTTCATGGCTTCTGACTTCCTAACTGTCCTCCGTCTCAAAACATTTTATTTGTGGCCGAAGAGAACATGTAAAATGTAATTTACTAACATGGATGGTAGATCTCAATTCAGAACCTGCAAGGTATAGAATATGCAGGACTGGAGCTGGTTTTTTAAAATGAGTTATATAGTAAGTTAGGCAGTAAGATGCCTCTGTTAAATTTGGTAGGGAGGCACCATAATAGCTTGAGTGCGTGGTAGAAAAACTAGAATGTAAGATGTCAAGTTTCAAATAAAAAACATGGGGGCGCCTGGGTGGCGCAGTCGGTTAAGCGTCCGACTTCAGCCAGGTCACGATCTCGCAGTCCGTGAGTTCGAGCCCCGCATCGGGCTCTGGGCTGATGGCTCAGAGCCCGGAGCCTGTTTCCGATTCTGTGTCTCCCTCTCTCTCTGCCCCTCCCCCGTTCATGCTCTGTCTCTCTCTGTCCCAAAAATAAATAAACGTTGAAAAAAAAATTAAAAAAAAAAAAAAAAAAAAAACATGGACTTTAATTATGAATAGCCCATGGCTTTATGGTAAATGGTCTCTGTCAACAAAGAGCCTTTATTTCTACTTCACCTAATGTCATGGTCAACGATTTCAGCTCTGGCTTGAAGAGGTCCTGAGATCTTCAGGACTGCGTGTGGTGCAAAGGACTCTATCTTGCTTTTACAATAGCTACTGTGTTTTGGCTATACGAGGCAGGCGGTAGTGAAACCTAGTGGGAGTTAATGAACAGAGTAGATAGGACTCGACAAATACCTAACCAACAAATAGGTTCCATGATAATGTGACATTTTTATAGTCACATTTTTAAACCATAACAGCGCTTGAATGGTATGCATTATAGTATTTCAAAATGGTATGCATTATAGTATTTCAATTTAGTCATTTATCTAAAAACGAGTTTTATCTTGGCTCATAAATAAACAGTGACATTCCAGAAATTTGAAAAGCTCAGCTTCACCTTCTGCTGAAAAGCTCATTTTACAATTACAGAAACACATGCCCTTTTGTGCCATGTTGCTTAATCTTTGATTTATGGCTCCTATCTTTGCGCTAACCTCTTTCTGTAAACTACACAGAGTTTGTACAAGCTCAGCTATTTCATTCTTACTTCTAATCTTAATGGGTTATTTTCTCCCTACAGTGGCAATGTCTCTCTACGCAACAGGTCAGGGAAAAAGTATTCACTCTTAGTTTACCAAATGCTATTTAGTGTCTTATAATGTTCTCAGAGTCTGAAGTAAGTAATGCATTTCCCTAAAAGTCTTGGCTGGCTCTTCCAGAAAGGTTTTTCTCTTCTGTCCCAGAGCCTTCTAGTGCTTGCTCCAACATGCCTTGCAGCAAAGCCCTTTTGGGAAATGGCAGCCCACTCTCTCTCCTTTCTGCACTTCATTTTGACTAGGTTCCCTCAGCCAGGAAGCTAGCTTACTTGGCACATCGGAATGGTTTCTCTGGGGGTGCATGGGTGGCTTAGTTGGTTAAGCATCCAACTCCTGGTTTTGGCTCAGATCATGATCTCATGGTTCCACGAGCTCGAGCCCCACATTGGGCTTCATGCTGATGGTGCAGAGCCTCCTTGGGCTTCTCTGCCTGTCTCTCTCTCTCAAAATAAATACATAAACTTAAAAAAAAAATAAGATGGCTTCTCCTCCAGTTCCATCTCTCTGCCGTTCAGTGGTGACACTCAGGTGTTGACAGAGTTGCCCTCCACTTCTCCCACAGTCTATGTACAGCTCTAGGTCTGGTCACATACCTCAGGGATGCTGGAGGAGTCTTTCACAGCAGTGTACTTAATCTGAGGGAAATCTGGGTCTTGCTCAAGGTCTACGATGATGAGAAAAGCACAGGTTCTTATGTCTTCCTTCACCTGGATCCCCACATTACACACCTGGCAGGTGTACTTCCAGGACTGTGCTCTGGGCTTGTTGCGAATGACTTGTTTCATTACAGATGCATTTTCTTCTCTGTTTTTCACTACTCCTGCTGTCATGTGGAAGGTGGCAAGAAATGTACTTTTACTCCATCATTTTTAAATAGAAAAGTCTTTGTAAAAACTTTCGTGAAAACATAAAAAGGTACTGGTGATACAATACTAAGCAAAAAAAAAAATGCAGGGTACAAAATAATATAATCTGAGACGACACCTAACTATGCTATCGAATGCATGAAAGGAAGAACACACCAGAATCTGAAATCGTTGCCTCAGAGTTGGGAGAGTGATTTAACATTTTTCCATTGATTCTTCTTCACATTTCGCAAGTTGTGTTTTGCGTGTCTATGAACAAGCAACCCAACATATTCAGCAAGCAATATTTACGAAAACACATTTATGTGGCTGCACAACCTTTTTAAGACTCTCCACTAAGCACAGGCTGCCATATGCACACTTACTCATTCAACAAATATTTACTGAATTTCTGTGATGGGCCAGCCACTCTGCTCACTTTGGGGAGTATAGCTGTAAACAAAGGGAAGTCTTACACAGCTCGGCTTACGTTCAGGTGGGGGTGACAGACAATACAAATCAAATAAACATAGGATATGTTAAGATGGGGTGGTAAAAGAGAAAAAAATAACAAGGTAAAGGTACAGAGAATGTCAGTAAATTGAGAGAAGAAACCAAATATATGGACTCTATCAATCAAGGAAACCAACGAAAGCAAAAACGCAGACAGTTAGAAGGATGCCGCTAGGTTCGCACTACAGGTGTTTATCATTCGTTCGTTGTTCGTCACCAGTTAGGCGGTCATTATTTAAATCAAATATTTTTTGGGGCGCCTGGGTGGCGCAGTCGGTTAAGCGTCCGACTTCAGCCAGGTCACGATCTCGCGGTCCGTGAGTTCGAGCCCCGCGTCAGGCTCTGGGCTGATGGCTCGGAGCCTGGAGCCTGTTTCCGATTCTGTGTCTCCCTCTCTCTCTGCCCCTCCCCTGTTCATGCTCTGTCTCTCTCTGTCCCAAAAATAAATAAAAAAACGTTGAAAAAAAATAAATCAAATATTTTTTTAATTTCCCAGCCAAACCTCCTTAAGGACATACTACTTTTACCTTGAAATACATACAGGCTAATTAAATCTTCAGAACATTTGGAAAACAGCGTATTTTAAGGGTTCTTCCTATTAAGATGTTTGGCTACAGAGCTAAAGTAACAAATTGTAAAAAGTACTGCTCAATGAACATTTAAAACCAATAAGCTTGAGAATTCCCACCAAATAGGAACCAACTAGGTCGATGAGGGATCATATTTAATACGTTGTGTGCATTAAATGATTGTTCACCACTAACATTTGTTCATCTCATAACTTTTCTTTCAGGAATTGTGGGGAAAAACCAAATGCACTTAGGTTGTGCACTACCAACCTCTTCCTCTTTCAGGGGAGTTTAGTTTACAAGATTGTCATTTTTAATAGGAAACAAGCAAAATTTCTCCTATGATAACACATCTTCAAAACATCAGTAAAGCTGGTTGAAAACATATGGTGAGGCACAAATGCAGTAACTTCTCCCTTTCTCACTGTTGCTAAGGAATGAGTTTATGAAAGGAGGTAAATCCCAACTTGAGTGAGTGCTTGCCATATCCCACCACGCTACAACGGCACATGCTTTTCTATTGTCATTTCATTGTTACATCACCCCAGCAAAGACGGCACTGCCACTTGAGAGGTTAAGAACTGGACCCAGGACCTTGATGTGCGTGACAACAGCTAGTAAATGTCTGAGCAAGAATTCAAACCAGGAAGTCTGACTCCAAGGTCCATGCTTTTCAGCATTACCCTCTGCCGAGGAGCCCTATGCTTAGGATGACTTTGCTCAAAGCTTCATTTTTGAGTGAGAGAATTCTAAATATATAGCATACTCCCATAACTACCTCAACAATTTTGAACCTAATTTAATAATTTTATACATAAAGTTTTAAACATCTATTTTTAAAAGCCATCCCATATTACTCTCTTATGATGGGTCTGCTTTTGACTTGGTTTCCTCTCAGGGTGTTGCCATACAGGCTGCTTCTGCAGTTGCATCAGAGAGCTGGGACTCTAGTCCCACCAAATAAGCTTGTCGCACTAAAGTTAGTAAGACTTAGAAGTCAAAGAAAGTCAGTTCTGCAGTAAGTTCTAAGGACCATGTGCTGGACTCACCATCCATTCATCCATCCATCCACCTACCCATCCATCCATCCATCCATCCATCCATCCATCCATCCATCATTCACTAAAATTTAGTGATAAGAATCACTATAACAAAGTTTCTCCATTAAATTTCTATTGCTTCTACCACTAGTACAGATCTCTCTGAAATTCTCAGTTGCTAAAACAATGCCCTAAGTTGACTCCCCATAACAAATGTCTTACCCAGTCTTCACTTTTCTGCCACATTCTTTTTCCAAAACATGGCTTGATGTTGTTGTTGCCTTTTAAAGGAGACAATGTATGTAAATAAATTAACAATTTGCCTGAGCTATAACAAGCCCTTCGTAAACACTATTATTTTTGCTACAACTATGTGCCAGACATGAAGGTAAGCACTGGGAATATGGCAGACATGAATGAGACATGGAGCCTGGCAGTGAGGACCTGGGAGTCTAGTGGAGACAAAGAAAAGTAAACCATCTATCACCACACAGTTGTGGAAACACCTCACTCCAACCTGGGTGGAGGCAGAGGTCAGGGGGAATGAGTTCACAGAGTAAGAAGTCTGGGAACAGGAATAGGAAAATTCCTAGGAGACTAATAGACTGGAAATTGCAGGCAGCTTCAAGTTACTGAATAAGTCTGGAGAGGCGTGGGGATCGGCCACCGGACCCATGAGGATGGACAGGTATGTGGGGCCAATTGTAAGGGCTTGTATGTCATGCTAAGGATTTTTTATTTTTTAAAGAGGCAATGAAAACCTACTACAAATTTACTGGCATGATCACAGACGCAATCAATTTTAGAAAGATCAACATGGTAACAGTGCAGCAACTGATCAGAAAGGAGTAGGGCTGGGTTAAGAGGTTGCTGGGCTGATCAAAGGGAAAAATGATGACATCATGAATAAAGATACGACAAATGTGGATGGAAAGTGTTCACTGATGTTGAGAGCAACTGAACAAACAAGGTAAGATCTACTGAGGACTGGGAATGT